AGGCAGGAGACTGCAGGTTGGCAAGTCCCTCCTGTCAGGCAGAATTCCTATTACTTCTCCCAGTGTCAGACTCTCTCTTTACTCTCACCTGAAGTCTCACTTGAGCAAATGAGGCTCCTGCCTAACACCTCAGGACTTACTGTGTCCAGCTGCCCTGATGAAACTGACCTTGTGTGGCTCTTTTTCCCCCAGTGATCCCAACAAAGGAAATTCAGATGTGCCTGTTTCCTGGCTGCCCTACAGTGACAAGGGCAGTTACTACCTGGAGATCAACAACAAGATGAACAAGGATTCCTTGAAGCAGGGCCTGAGGTCCCAGTATGTGAACTTCTGGAACACAGTGTACCAGAAACTGCCACAGGTTGTCAACATCTCCCAGTCAGAGTTGATGTTCTGAAGCCAAGAGAAAACACCTTTAAAGATAGTTCATTAAAGGCTTGATAGTAACTGAGTGACTCTGGTTCTCTGTGTGTTTGCCATGACAGGATTTTCTTGCTGATGTCAAGGTTAGGCAGAAAGGAACATCCCATCTGTGGGCAGTGTGCATTCCCCTGACCTGTGACACAGCTATGTCCTGGGGATGGTACTGACAGCCACAGGCTGTCTCTCCCCACTGAGCTGTCTGTTGGCTCTGGGGTTGTTTTCCCTTTTTGCCTGTGTTTCCCTGGGCAGTTCAGCCCCAATCTCAGCCTGTCCTCTGCGTATTCCCATGATACCATCAGTGTCCCTGCTGATACCAACCAGCTACAGTTACAGCTGCAGCAGGTGAACACAAACCAGTCCTGACCTTTTGCTGATTGTGTCAGACATCAGCTCAGGAATAGACAGGGGCAAAATAAACCCACAGGAGAGGTGATTCCTCACTGCTTTATGGGCAGGGGCCAGTCCAGGCTGGGCTGGGGAGCTCCAGCTCTGAGCAGGGCAGGACAAGGAGCATGACTGCCCACAATCCTCATCCTCCACACGTGCCCATACACACACCCATGACAGGCCCAGCCAGGTCCCTGTACCCCACAGTGGGCACAGCAGGGCTCACTGTGGTGGAGCTGTCCCACACACTGTGGCTGGTGTGCATGGAGAGCTCAGAGCTGGTGTGGAACCCCAGGGACATGCTGCAGACACTGGGAGGAAAGCAGCGGGTGTCGTGGGTGAGGAGCCCTGGGGTATGTGTGGAGGTTCTCTGTGCAGAAAGAATGTATGGTAGGGATGTATCCCAGTCCTGGGGAGGGTTGAGGCCAGGGTCAGGGAGCCCCTTGCACTGGAACCTCCTCCTACCTGCTTCCAGTGGGATGGAGCAGACGGGAGGGTGTGCAGGAGTCAGTGCCATATGTGCCTGACTGGACCTGTGCCCTCCTGGCCCTGGTTGGTTTTGCCAGAAGAACAATCTGTGAGATCTCCCACAAGAAACATCTTTCATTTCATTACTGTTGTCCTTCATCGGCACGTTTTAAAAGAAAACAAATTTCTTGCTTGAAGTGGTACCTGCATTTCCCTCTTGCTTTGCCTCTCCCTGCACCACTGAGTAGCTGCAGTAGCTACAGGAGAGCAAATGCAGAGGGTGAAGCCTTCAGTGCTCAAATACAATTCAAACAGATCAGTACCAAGTGGCTGAGGGTTTTCTGCCTGTGGGGAGAGAGCACCTGTGTCACGGTGCAACTGGATGGAACTTTGAAGGTTTTTTGTAATCTAAATCTTCTTTCCTGAGTGGTATCATAAGAGTCTTTTATGGTACCAGTGTATGATAGGGAGGTTGGGCCAAAGTTAAACCAACCCACTGCTCACCTGGTTGAGTCCCTTCTTTCCAGAAATCTGGAGCACAAATTTGTTTTTGCAAGTTCCCATGAATTCTCCTGTTACACCATAAAATGGATGTGAATCCTTTCCTTCTTTCCTCCTCTTAGGAATCCATCTACGTTTTCTGAGAAGGAGCCTTACCCTCCTTATTGACAGATGTTCTACCAGCTCTGTGATTTGAATGTGGAAAGGTATTGCACTCTGGCAGCTGAGTCTTCTGTCAGAGATAGACTTCAATGCCTAATGTTTATATCCCATCCATTCCTCCCTCTCTCCTTGGCAAATACAACAAGCAGTGAAGACAGCACAGAGCAGCTACATATGAGCCTGGTGAGAGCTGAGTGTGATGAAGACAAGGAGGAAGAAGACCTCAAGCCTTATGCTGTAAGTGCAAATGAAATGGAGACAGAAATTCTGCACTATGTGTGAACCTGGTGAGCAGTCTGGCTGCTGTGAGACATAAACATCTTCAAAGATTGCTATCGTTTTCTGAATCTTGTGCATTCCCCAGTGTGTTATGAACACCAGGTTTCTCGTAAGTTGTTGATACTATGTTCTACTGCATGGTTTGATATGATTTTATCCTCCTGAGCTTGGATGAGGCTTCTCAAGACTTCAGTGTGGTTTATGCTCTCTGCAGTTTTATTAGACTGAGTGATTTCCTTTGGTTTGGCCTCCAGCCCACAAAAGCAACACCTGCAGGACTCTCACACGGCGATGCCAGTTCACCTCAGGCATGGCTCAGCCTCAAGCTACTGAAGGACAAGTGTGTAGAGGCTCCCCTGGGTTCCCTCAGAGCCAAGACTGGGGCATGGCATTGACACACACCTGCACTGCTGGCTATATATATCCAAACCTCCACTGGGCACTGTCTCCTCAGGTGTGCACTCACCATGGCTCGCTGGGAGATCCTGTGCTTGGCCTTGTGCTGCTACCTCGGGGTAGCAAGGGCTGCAACTGTAAGTACAAAGACACTTCTCAGGGCTAGGAAAGATATGTTGCCTGAATGAGCAAACTCCAGCTATGTCTGGTCAGGAGCCCCTGACAGTGGCTCTGTGGGTCTGATCGCCAAAATGGTGTTTTCCTGCCCTGACCATGGCAAACATTCTCAACAACATTGTTCCAAGAGTTCCTTGGAACCTGCCAAGATGTGGACAGGTCTCTCCTTCCTCTTTGGGAGTGTGGGGAAATTGCTGCTGCCAGTCTGCTATAAGAAGCACCTGCAGGATACCTGCATGGACACAACTAGGCAGAACCTACCTGTGAGCTTTCCACGGGGGGCCGAGGGCACGGATGGGGAGGGTGGGCTGAGAGTGGGTCCATGTTTGGGACTGGTCAGGGCAAGATGTGGGTGTTGGCAATGTGGAAATCCAGGATCATAAAGAACTGAGCAATGGATTTTCTCTTCTCCATGGTACCACCTGGGTGTGGTGCTCACCGAGGGTGGTTTTGTGGAAGGTGAGAGTAAGAAACTGGGACTCTTTGGGAATTACGTCGACACGACATGAGGGATTCCCTTTGCTGCCCCTCCAAAGACTCTGGAAGACCCTCAACCTCATCCTGGCTGGGATGGTATGATCCAACTTTTGAATGCTTTGCTTCGGGCTTTTTGTTGCTTCTCTCTCTTTAGTCTGTTTTTAATAAACCAAAGATGTTGCTCCTGCTTTTATTTAATAAGGAGCATCAAGAAAAAGCTCTTTGTCCCCTGATGGGTCTGAGAGTCTAAGTGTTCCCAAGCAACTCAAGTAACCCCAGGAAGTAACTCAGCCAAAGCAGCTCCCACACCTGCCCTCCCCATGCCTTGGTTGTCCAGACTTAGTTCACATGAGAAAGAGTCCCACTTTCTCCCAGACTGATCAGGGTGGCTGAGGAGTCTTTTCTATCTCTGCTCTAAACTCAGAGTGGAGAGGATGAATGCAAATAGAGGATGGAGCTGATGCCTCTAACTAGGACATGCTGTCATCCCCCTCTCCTCTCAGGAACATTGAAGGCAAAAAAATTCAAGAACCGCTGCATGCAGATGAAACTCACACAGACTGATGTGCGTGGGAGTGAGGACTGTCTCTACCTGAACATCTGGATCCCTCAGGGGAAGAGACATGGTAAGTGCTTGGCAGAGACCTGAGCAAGACATTCAAGCTGCTTTTTGCCTGGAGCATCACTCAGCAGTTATGTTCCACAGCAGGGAAAATGCTGAGCAGTGATTTTCTGAGGGAAAGGTGGGAACCATGTCAGGCAATGTCCCTCAGCTGCAACCTGCAGGAAGGTTCAGCATCTTGTACAAAGTAAGGACTTTGTTGTCATCATATCTGCTCATGCCCAGGTTCAGTGATGCTCAGGGAGTGGGTAAGGGGATGGAGGGGCAGCACCTCCTATCTCTGTTGGAGCTCACTCTGCTCTTTTTCCTCACCTCCCAGTCTCTACCAACCTGCCAGTGATGGTGTTCATCTACGGTGGTGCCTTCCTTGTGGGAGGGAGCCAGGGAGCCAATTTCCTTGATAACTACCTCTATGATGGGGAGGAGATTGCTGTGAGGGGCAACGTGATCGTGGTGACCATCAACTATCGCCTGGGGCCTCTTGGCTTCCTGAGCACTGGGGATTCAAACTTGCCAGGTACCATAGCTGCTCCCTCTTTGGGGGAACCCTGTCCTGTGTCCTGAGTTTCTCAGCTTAGCTGTGCCCTTGCTCAATGGTTTGTGCTCTGTGCCACTCAGGGAACTATGGGCTGAAGGACCAGCACATGGCTATTGCCTGGGTGAAGAGGAACATCAAGGCCTTTGGGGGTGACCCAGAAAACATCACCATCTTTGGGGAATCGGCAGGTGCTGCCAGTGTCTCCCTGCAGGTGAGTTGTCCCTACAAGAGCCTCTTCTCTCTAAATGGGAGAGGTCCTTTTGTCTCTCAGCTGCTTTCCTCCCCTC